GAAAATGTAAAGTTTGTCATTTTAGGACAGCTGGAGCAACAATTTCTATGCCTGAACAATAAACAATTTTCTTACAGGTAGTTGTGTTATTTTGCGTCTCTGTTAGAGCTTTCCACAGACAGTTCCTTCCATGCTGCAGAATTTCAAGCCTGCTTTCCTAAGGAAATGAGATTTAAACCATTGTGTACCTCATCCACCAGTGAGTGGGTCAGGCCCACTTCCAGCCCACTGTTCAGTTTCAGAAAACTCAGACTGGGGGGTAGAAAGCTGACATAGAACTGAAGTTCTTCAAGGAAAATGGCAGTTACTGAGTGACAGAACTCAGAGGAAGGTATCCTTTGAGGAAAAAGCTTCAGGCTAAGCTTGGTGTGAGCTTGGTATTTCCTGTGAGGCTTGTGGGGCCGAGTGGCTCATTCCTGTTTCTGAACAAGCTGCAGCATTTTCTGGGAGGGAGGAGAAAGAAACCATAGAGGGACGTACAACTGAGAATACTATTGCTGTGGCCTGTAGAGGGTTGTATGGATATGACCCAAATCCACATGAAACTAGATGTCACACATTTTGCTGCTTGTGGAGCAACATGTTCTTTTATATTCTTTTCAGATGAATGTTATTTATTTATTTATTGTTACTTATTTCTAACAAATCCCAGTGATTAATTTATATCCGTAATGGACTGAAAGCTCTTCTGTATTAGTGCAGTAATAACTTCCAAAAGCAGGGAAAATTAACAATTCCCAATATAAGGATACATTTGCAGATATTTGACACTAAGATTGTGAGTTTCTATCAAAATCTACATGGATGGGATAGCTTAAATGGTTTATTTTCATCATGGAGGTAGTTGTATCTCTTTCTAAATCTTGTCGCTCAGGTATTTATGTCATGATCTTTACTGACCTCTGCATTAGTTTTTGCAAACGGTAAAGCTGAGACTTTGGTAATGTCTCTAGTGAATGAATGAGTACACAAAAAACCTTCAGCACATGTGATACAGCTTTCAGCCCTACTGACAGCTTGTGCAACATGGACAGGGAGGGAAAGAGCGTCCTCTTGTCCCTAGATGAGTTTGAGAGGACCAACTGTTGGGGCATGCTTGCAGGAAAATCCAGAAGAACCACACATAGTCTGTTGCACGGTAGTTGCCTAAAAAGTGGAGTTCAGATTCCTGACCTGTCTTTCACAAACACTTCTTACAAAACAATGTTTCTGCAGGTGTTCGAGCATATTCAAATTGATTCTGAAATGGAGAAGTCAGTCGTGTAAGTTTGCTTCAGGGATGGTGTAATTTGCTTTGCATTAGCGAGGAGTGGAAAGAAAAGAAGAAAAGTAAATTTCTGTAATTAAAATGTGCGTTAATGAAAGTGTGGACAAGAAAGCTTGCCCCTCTCACTGGTTCTGTCTGAAAAAAACCTTCAGTAATTTGCATTCATAAGTGCATTTTTATTTAATTTTCCTTTTTTTTTTTTTCCTGAAGCATTCTCTTCATGCTTAAATTCCTCTATTTCAGAATTTATGAAGCAAATGACCCAAACTGTATAATCACTGATGAGGGACGTAAGCTGCAAGCAAAATGCAAGCATATATGGACAGAATCTGGGATCAGAAAATCAGTCAGAATACAGCAGCTTATGTGTTAACCCACCTGTAAGAGTCTGACGTGTCACACAAGTGACGTGTTCTCTAAGCATTAGTCTGGAGTTCTCTTATGAATAGTCAGAATTAACAGATGTTCAGCTGGACTCAAAATCTGAGGACTCAGTGCTGTGAAAGGTTACAGTAATGGTCTGTTTACCTCCTCTTCTGTGAACGCAGCTAACACTGGCAGCATTATCATTTTCAACACAAAGCCAGAACTATCATTTTCAGGTACCAGAAGTACTTAGGGGCATATAAAGGAAGTTTAGGGAATGCCAATGGCTGGATTAGTTAATTATATTAGCTAGTTATTAATTAAATGATCATAGAAAGGCATTACAGACTTCAATAAGGAGTAGAAATGAACACTTGTCTTAGATTGTAAGTGCACTGGGAGCAATATATACATTCTTTGTGATGAAAGAGGGCTACATTTGGTAGAGTCATGCATTGCCAGTTCTGCAGCTAGTATAATGACTGAGGAATAATTTAGCGTAACGTAGAAATTTTTGCAGTTACACTGTTTTGTAACACAGATTATTTTACATTTACTTAATAGTTTTGGGTTTGTATTTTTTTTTTTAAAGTCCACTATATAACTGGAAGAATGTAGAGCTAAGAATGCCCATTTTTCTATGGATTTGTGTGTTGAAATTTACCTCATGTATTCTAACTCCTTGGTGTCTAAAATGGGCATTTTCCTTACTGTAGGCAATACTGAGGTGTCTGTTTCCGTGAGGAATTTTGAAGTATTCCAGGCCCAAAATAAAGTTGGCTGTTGTCAGCCAAGGGTTTAAAAAGTTATTACAGTGGGAATTCACCCCTGCTCCACACTTATATCCTAGAAGAGTACCAGAGAAAAATGCCTGTGCTTATTAATTTAATTCTATATTAACAAATCTGACCCTTAATGCACTTGTGTATGTTGCTCTGAAGTCACTAAAGATGGGGCATGAAGCATGTCATATGTCACAAACTGTGAACATGGCTCAAAAGAAGTTGAGTGTCATCTGACAAGTAACACGTGTCTTGTTCCTGTGTACGTTCAAAGCAAAAGATACTGTAAGGGAGAAGTTAACTAGTGTCTATCAAACATTTTGTAAGTAGCTTCATTTACAAAGTAAGACTTCTTTCTGAGAACCCCAGATGAATCACTTCACACTCCATGCCTCAGGTCTGCTTCCAGCACATTAAAATGTCATTTACTGTTTTGAATTTACATTTTAGAATATATATTTAATATGTGATGCGTATAATGCTTGCTGTGGTCATTAATTCAGAAGATCTTGCATAGCCTCAGAGTAGAATACTGCTCCACATTCAAGCTTGCCTTAGTGGTTGATGCTTTGTTTTTCAAAGAAAGATCAAACCAGTTCAAAGAGGTAATACATGAAGCACAGAATACTAGAGGAGCAAATATAAGGTCAAATAAGCTATAAAACATTCATAACAGCTGTAAATTTTCAAAACCGCTTATATCCTTCTCGTTTCCAGGAACTTGTATTACCTACAACTTTGTGCAATCCAAAAGTTAATTGTTACACAGAATGAGGCATTTTCTGATTAGCAGGGGAATTAGCTGTGTTTAATTACTCCTCTGGTAATCTGGTTTATGGTGGTTTCCTTCAAGGCTAAGCTAATCAGTAGATAGAAAATCCTCCTACCCATCAGTGAAGACCAGACGGAATTCTTATATTATACAAGAGTAGGGGAGGGCTGGAAGGCTTTAGCTACTCTCATTTCCTAAGACTCTCTTAGCAAAGCACTGTAGAAGGGTGCTGCACTGACAGGTAAAAGCCGCTGCTCCTATCCCTCCCCAGAGACAGGCCGTGACTTCCCAAAGGGAAAGCACAGGCGCGGGGTGAGTAATGAGACAAAACATGTGTAAACAGGCTTTCAGTGCAGCAGTGCTGTCTGTGGAAGCCAGCGCCTGAGAAGGCAGTTATTATTAATGATGTAAAAAACCCACATTAAAAAGTAATCTAGATCGATTATTTATTTGGTGTTTTTTTTACCTGGGCTTGGCAAACACACTCACATGTCCTCACAGTGCTGCTGCACAGGTCTCTCGCAGGAGAACTGCTTTCGTAACACTGCCTTTTACTGTGCTTCCTCAGACATTGCCATCAATACAGTAAGGCCAGAGTAGTCACAAAGAAGACATGGGCTTCTCAAACTACGTTTCTCTTAGTACTTAGTAATTTTAAAACACAAAACCTGTTGTGTTTTTTAACTTTCAAAGGCCTTTTCCTCAGACTATTGCTCACTACAACTACCTGAAAGGAGGTTGTAGCGAGGTGAGGGTCAGTCTCTTCCCCCACGTAACTTGGTAAGACAAGAGGTAATGGCCTCGAGCTCGCCAGGGGAGGCATAGATTGGATATTAGAAACATTTCTTCACAGAGAGGGTGCTCAGGCATTGGAACAGGCTGCCCAAGGCAGTGGTGGAATCAGCATCCCTGAAGTGTTCAAAAACCATGTAGATGAGGTCCTCAGTGACATGGTTTAGTGGTGGAATTGGCAGTGCTCGGGCAAAGGTTGCACTTGACAATCTTAAAGGCCTTTTCCAACCTGTGATTCAAGACAAGTTCTGTGATTCAGACCACTTTAAGCCAGCTTCCCAGCGAGATACCATATCGAGGCCCACCTCAGTATTCCCCCTCAGCTAGAACAGAGGACAGCATCTGCCTCTAACGTGCACGCTGCCAGAGTACCGGAAAGCCGAGTGCACGGCGGAGGGGCGCAGGCGCTACCCCCCTGTGTCGGTGGAGGCGAGGCACGGCCTGAGGAGCCCCGGCCCCTCACTAGGTCCGGTGGCGCCAGACGGGAAAGCCGCGCACCCGCCTACGTGCCCCGCGCCCCGTCCCGCCCGCCGGACGCCGAGGAAAAGGCGGGGCAGCGGCGGGGGGAGGCAGCGGTACCACAGCGCGTCCGGCGCATGCGCATGTGTGCTGAGCGCCGCTCGGGCGCGGGGGCCGCCTGTGAGCGGGGTAGCGGGCGCCGGGCAGCGCTGCGCCCTCCCGGGCGGGCGGTGAGCCGGGACCATGTCCTCCGCGCGGCGCTTCTTCTGCGGCTATTTCTGCCTCGCCAGCCGCGCGGCCGCTCGCCGGTCCCTGCTGCTCTGCCAGCGGGCGGCGGGGCTGTCGCTGCTCGGCGGCACTCGCCGCCGCCTCCTCGCCCTCCGCGGGCTGAGTCCCGCCAGCGGCTCCGCGGCGGCAGGGCAGGGGGTGGCGGCGGGCGGCGGGTTCCGTCCGTCGCGGGTGGCGGTGGTGGTGAAAACGACGCGGTACGAGTTCGAGCAGCAGCGGTACCGCTACGCTGGGCTCTCCGAGGAGGACCTCAAGCAGCTGGTGAGCAGCGGAAGGGGGCGGCTGTCCCGGGCTGCCCTGGCGCTGCCGCCGCGGGGCCCCCGCTACGGAGCGGCCCGCCGCTGGGCCGGGGTGTCCCGAGCGGGCCTGGGGCCTCCCCCGGCCTTGTCTGGGGGCCAGGGCTGGTGAGATGGGGCGCGGCAGGGCGGCGGTGCCGGTCCTGCCTCCTCCCCAGGCCCCAGAGCCCGACCTGAGCTGGCGAGGAGAGCGGTGCAAGCAGCGCCGCTTAACTGCCCTTCGTTCATCTGTTGCAAGCTACCGGGGGATTTGTGTAGTAAGTGTGTTTGGGTTTTATCCTCGGAGTGATTCCAGCAGCCTTCAGAAGGCTCCAGGCTTTTCTTTCTACTATTTTAGAGACGTGCATTCTGAGGAAAGCACCATGTTGTGAAAATCCACTCTGAGATTTGGAAAGGAATCATTTCCTTCAGCTCCTTTGCACCCCATCCTTGCGTCGCTTCCTCTCTTCATCCTTAAGATATTTGTCTAATAACTCCTCTAGTTAAACAGACAGATCTCGCATTCACATCCATGTTGTCTTGCTACAGTTTTTAGACAAGCCTTTTTCGTTAGTCGTTAGGAAGCACTCAGTACAAAACCAAGTGACTGTTCCATTAATGAAGGTATACAAAAGAAAGAGTTAATAAGCACACCCACTTTTCATAGCTTCATCTCCACCAAGCTCAGTGATACCATCCTCCATATACCCTGTGACTCCCTGCTTCAGGTGCTCATCTGCCACTGGTACCTGCTTCACTTTGGTTGCCAGCAGTCTATGCAGGCAGGTCATGAGATCATATTATAGTCTTTATTCTGAGTAAGCCCATTAATTTGGGTCTGTCTAGTCTGCGGTCTCTTACAACTGTAAATGTTTTAGACCTCTTTCATTTGCAATGTTAGGATTAAGCTTTCAAATGTTTGTAATTTATGTAACAGAGACAACAGCTTTTATTGTGTAGCTTCAATTTGTAAAGCACTAGAATAAAAAGTACAGTATCTAAAGCAAGGTAGTTCTCACATTTTTCTGTATACTTAAGTTGATCATCCACATTCTATGGAATTCCTGTCCAAACATTTTTACATGATTTGGAAATCTCTCTAGTCAAATTTCCTGTAGGCACCAAATTTAATGTAGAAACATCAACCTGTATTCTTATTCTTATCTGCATACAGGTTCCTGTTGCTGATATGTCCCTGTGCTTCTGTTCGTACGGCAGCTGTGGAATAGCAATAACCCTCTCACAGTTCATCTCTCTGAGCCTGCCTTTCTGTCCTCATTTAAGCTTGAGGAAGCATTTCTTGCTCTTTAATACCGGGAATCAGTTCTCAGTGCACAGAGAAAACCAAGAAAAATGAAATGGCATTTGGTCACCTTTACCTAACTGGTTGTGTACAGGCAGGTCTGGGACAGTGAGTCAGTGATCTGTGTCGTTAGTGCTGTATGTCCCTAAAGGTGCTCTCAACTGAATGCAGTGATAGCTGCTGTTTCTCTTCTCACAAGAATGCACATTTTGCAGCATTGGCAACATCTAAAAGTCTGAAGATGCCTTTAAAGTAACTGAATGCACAGTGTCTAATTGTAGTAGTTGCAGAAACACTGTATAGAGTTTGTCCTTTAGGAGAGACTTGCAGGTGTAATTCTCCATAATTGGAAGAATTCTAGAATGTTTATTCTAGCACTGGTGCTTCTTTAAATCTAGCTTTCCCCTGAAAATACCTCAATGTGAGGAATTGCAGCAATAAAATTCATAGCAATGCCAGGCAGACAAAGCCTAAGTTGCCTAAGTACGTGTCTAGAAATATTAAGTTAGGCTTCTGCCATATGGGTGGGAATACAAAGATTCGTGCAAGAACACACTGTAAAGCTCTTCCAGAATTGTATTTTTGAAATAGGAAATGAGAGAGCGAAGAAATCCTCCTTACTGCCTGTTTCTTTTTCAGCTGACCTGTAAGAATGTCTGTGTTTACATTCTGCTGGGACTCCATCTCACGTTTTTTCCCCCTCAGGCTTTCTGTGCTGATGGCAGCCTCGGTAATTATTAGGTGAAGGTTCAGGAGACTCTTAACGCTCTCTCTTGTGGGCAGAGATCACTTCGTAGCAGAACGATTGCTGAAAAGTGTCCTTACCCCTCTGTGCCAGTCCTTTGCAGGCAGCCTGGGAACATGGCAAGGAGAGCGATGCATTCTGCCTCCTGAGGTTAGCTGCACTCTGTGCTCCCTGTGTCCCTGCTTCTCCTGGGGAGACTTAAGAAGCTGGTCCCAAGGCTGCTGGCCTCTGAGAAATGAGGTCAGATGCTGCCCTTGGACGTGCAGCAAGTCCCTGTTGCTACTGCCCTGAGCGATGCCCAGTTTATCCTAAACATTTGTGAATTAAAGCGGTTGTGAGTCTTGGCATTTGGGCTCAGTCACCCAAATGGCTGTGCAGAGGGCAGGGTGGAAGTCAAGGCTCATGTGAAAGTCTGCAGTTGGGATAGAGGAAAAGAATGAAAGCCAAGTGCACAGGAAAGGCTTGGCTCACCTTGCTGTTAGCTAACTCAGTTTGGTTAGGTATTTAGGGAAGATGAATAATTTAGCTATCCAAGCATACTTTAGATACAGTTTTAATTACCTTTGGAAGCGTCATGTCAGATTAGAAGTTATGTGGTTTTTGGTCTTAATTGAAGGAAAATGATTCAGTTTGTACCATAGATGATACTCTGTTGTGGCTGGTTTATGTGTCTGTTTGGAGTGGGGAGGGAGAGAAAGGAATTGAAGGCTTGGAACAAACTTTGGTTCTTTTGGACCACTGCAGCAAATTGTCAGGGTTGGTCATCTTAGAAATGTGAATTCATACAGCTTTCTTGAAAACTGGTATCTGTATGGAGAAAAGGTAACCTGTTAGCAGGATATTGCCTCCCCTGAAAAAGGTCCAGTGTGAACTCATTTTCAGTGTTGGGCACCAACAACATACTGAGCGTGGCTGGTCAGGAAGGATTGCCTCTCAGGAAGTTGGAGAGCTTCAGCTGAAGCTGGCATGTCCTTGTATACCAAAATAAGACCAAAGAACTGTGGAGCTTGTTCCTTCTGTGGTGTTTTTCTGTCGTAAGAGGAGTCTGGAAAATGATGGAAACAAATAAATGGGTTGTAGTAATTCCTTTTTCCATGACATTTTCTTTTTTTTCTAGCCCACCGTTCCAATATACTCAGCTATACATAGCAAAGAGATGCAAAAGTAGGGCATTTTAATGTACATGAATTAAACGTCATAGATTATCTCATCAAACATCTGGTACTTTATATAGCTGAAAAAGGCTGCTTTTTGGAAGTGACTTTAGTATTGGTTTTATGTGCTTAAAGAGTTGTGTTTATGACATTATTTGGTGCACTGCTGAATTAATGAGAACTGAGGGTTGCACTGGGTTTTGGAAACCTGCTGCAGCAGTTACTGCTCTGTTTATAGTTAACACAGCAATTTTCTCTTCATTTGCCTTTGAATTACAGCCTTATGGTTAAAATGGCAATAATACTTTAATGTGGTAGATGAAGAATGAGAAAATAGTTTATGGCATTTTTACTTTTGTTCCTATATAGATAAAGCTCTTGCCCCCAAGCAGCATTTCTGTAAAGCTTCAGGAACATAATATTGCCAGTTTTGTTTACCAAGTGAAGAAATTGTTGATGTTGGCTGCTACAGAAGTAGTGGCATACAAAATGCTACAATATGCAAAACACTTCATAATCATTATAGCAGATATTAAGGCAGTATTTGAAAGGCTGCTCTAATGAAAATGAAGGGTTTAAGTTGCTGAAGAAAATGATGAGGAAAGTATAAGGAAAAAGATTTTTCTAGTTAAAGCGTCCCACTGGGTCCCTACAGAACAAGGGGTGACATAGCAAACTGATAGAAGCCTAGCAGATGGCCAGGAGCAGTAATGGGAACAGTTCTGAGCAACTGAGAGCTCCTGCTTAGTACATCAGTCAACAGTAGACAGGCAAAGTGTTAGTCAGGTAACACCAGCCTTATCTTCGTTTTACAGTAGGTAGACCTACTGCGTTGGTTAACCTACCACATTTTTTATAAGCAAGCAATTAATGGCCTGTATGGTACGACTGGATGCGTTTAATGCTTCTAGTGCAAAGGCAGGTAGAACACACTTCCTGTTTTACGAAGTTTGAGAAGTTTAAATCAAGCCACTTCTGTGAAAGCATAGAATGGTTTGGGTTAGAAGGAACCTGAAAGATCATCTAGTTCTAGCTCCCTGTCATGAACAGGAACACCATGCACTAGACCAGGTTGTTCACAGCCCCATCCAGCCTGGCTCTGAACACTGCCAGGGATGGGGCAGCCACAGCTTCTCTGGGCAACCTGTGCCAATGTCTCAGCACTCTCATAGTGAAGAATTTCTTCCTAATATCTAACCTAATAAATCTATTCTCATTTTAAATCCATTACTCCCTGTCCTATCACTACACTCTCTGATAGAGAGTTCCTCCCCATCTTTCTTGTAGGCCCCCTTTAGGTACTGGAGGGCTTTTACAAGGTCTCCCCAGGGCCTTCTCTACTCCAGGTTGAACAAGCCCAGCTCTCGCAGCCTGTCTTCACAGGAGAGGTGCTCCAGCAAAGCTGTTTCTAGTTCAAAATTTAACACTTTTGGAAAAAAACATTTCCCCATATTCCTGTTAAATGTTTGTTTATTTTAAAACTGAGAGCACTGACTTGTGGTTAATACAGAGTGACAGGTTTTGAAAATACAGGATTTTTAATAGTGCTGCGCGCTGCTTAGAAATGGTTAAATGATTATACTTGTAGTTGTCGTAGTATTTTCCCTTGCTAGTTTAAAATTCAAACTTCTGTGTTTAGCTGTGGCTCTCTAAATCCATTTATTTGGTGATTCTTTGTAGATATCGGGTAGGTGGGAAAGCAGTGATGTGTTCTTGTTTTCCTGCATGTGTAGCCAAGTTCATTGTGGAAATTTGTGGAAGTAATCATTTCTAGATCAGTGCTTTTTATTTCACGCTGGACAACATCCACGTTGCTGTTTTGAGAGAGCATACTGTTTATCCTAATGCTTAGGTTAGCAATGCCGGTGAGACTTGGCTACGACTTTTCCCTGTCCTCTAAATCAAGGATCATAATCCACATATGTGGACAACAGTGGGTGTTCGGATATTGCTTGGCTTCAGGTTGCTTCTATATTTGTGGTTAGATGCTATGTCCTCATTGCACAGCATTGTTCCTGGAGGGCCAGCATTGCTTGGGGTCAGTGGACTCAGAATTCAAAGCCGATGGGGTGAGACTTGCCAGAGGTCAGGGCTGAGACTCCAGAGGAGGGCAGTCAAGTCAGTGTGTTTTGCCTAAATGACTGTTAAGGGAGCTCTGTGGGAAACAACTCTTTCACTAAAAAAGGATTCAGGCCAGAAGATACAAGAAAAGATTGTTTGATTGTTTTGGGCATTCAGTCTAGATCTTTCCTCCTTCAGGCTCCTAAGGAAAAATAACTCCCATCACAGAACATGTTCTGCTCACCTGAGTGTGTTTTCCAATGCAAATTCTTCTGGCAGCCTGCTTTGCATTTCATTTCTGATGTGAGGTTTAAGGACGCTACTAAAGTTATGCCTGAATGTATTTTTGGCCAGTTTGTCCCTATTTTTGTATGCTAATGTGCTTTTAGCTAGAATAGCTGTTGTGTATATATTCATGTGTTTGATTTTACAGTCTTGCGTGCTATTGAGGTCAGATTAATAGGCCTAAGTCTCCACGAGTACTTCTGCTTTTGTTCGCTTTTGCTAATGCCACCCATAGCTGACTACCCTTGTGCTGTGATGTGACATTTCCTGTACGTTTTATTCCTAGTTTTTCCTGTTCTAGGAGCCTCAGCAAATGGGACTCCATAGCTAATGCTGTGTTTCCTGTGTGTTTATAGACACATAACCAGTAACTTCGATTCATCATTACTTTCAGTTTCCTTTCTAGTCAAGAAGAAATCACATAATCTGCATTGCAGGGCTCCAGACCTATGTGTGGTC